CCTCAGCCTCCCAAAGCGAGCGATTACAGGCTGTGCCACTGAGCCCGGCTGGGACCTGCCATCTTTTAACCATCGTTATTTTCTGTGTTTTATGTGTGGAGTGATTGTAAACACTGAAAATCAGTATATAACGCTTGCAATGTTTATATTATTTAAACTATGTAAATACTGTTCCTTCCAGAGTGGAGTACATTTTCTCTTTTATGTTGCTTTTTTTTTCTCCCTGGAGTTTCTTTTTTTTTTTTTTTTGAGTTGGAGTCTCACTCCGTCGCCCAGACTGGAGTGCAGTGGCCGCTCCCAGCCACCGCAGCCTCGACCTGCTGGGCTCCAGCGATCCTTCCGCCTCAGCTTTCCAAGTAGTTGGAACTACAGGTGCGTTACCACGCCCGGCTGATTTTTTGTTTTATTGTAGAGATAAGGTCTCGCTGCCCCGCAGGTTCAGGCAATCCACTCACCTCAGCCTCCCAAAGGCGCGGGATTACAGGCTGAGCCACAGAGCCCGGCTCCCTGGAGTTTCTAATTACTTTTCTTTTTCCCCTCATTTGCCTTCATTTCCTTGTTGTGTTTGAACTTTCCATCCCATGTTGTATTTGGCCACTCCATACATAGAATCAATGTCAGTCTCTGTGGCTTTAGACCCTGTTGGTGGGTCACTGCTTGACCTCTTCAGGAGGAGACCCCATCCTTCTCTGCCGGGCAGCCCTGTAGATACCACTGAGTGTTTTAACTTGAGGGGATGTGCTCCCCAGCTGTCCTGGTGTCAGTTTCCCTATGTGGGGAACTTGTAACACTCTGCAGGAGAGGAAAGTCTCACTGAGGCTCAGGTGTCCAGCCATTGTGCTTTTGTCAACGTTCTTAGCAGCTGTTGCTGGTGGTTGAGACCCAAGGCCGGCACAGTCCTGTGTGTAAAGTCTGTGGGCTCAGGAACTTGGGACAGGCTCGAGGTTGCACATCCCTGGGACAGGGGCTGGGGGAGAGGATGCAACCACCCTCCGTGATTGGCCTCCTGTGATCTGCCTCCCATGGTCAGAGTCCCAACAGAAGGAAACCACAGAGATGCCAGTCAATCTTTTTGTTTGTTTCTTTGTTTTGAATCAGGGTCTCTGTCATCCAGGCTAGGGGGACAGTGGCATGATCACAACTCATTGCAGCCTCAATCTCCTGGGCTCAGGATGATCCTTCTGCCTCAGCTTCCCAAGTAGCTGGGACTACAGGCGTGCACCACCACACCTGGCTAATTTTTAATTTTTTTGTAGAGACAGGGTCTCACTGTGTTGCCCAGGCTGGGCTCCAGTGATCCTCCCACCTCAGCCTCCCAGAGCACTGGGATTACAGGCCTGAGCCACTGTACCCAGCCTAGACCCAGGTTTGAATTCTGTGCTATTCAGGACTCCTGGGTTGCAAGTGACAGAAGGCCAGTGTGACATATAGCCCTTCAGCAAAAGGGGACTTATGGGCTCATGTGGCTGGACACTGGGCCTGCCTGGAACCGGGAAAACAAGATGGGTTTTTTCCTCTCCTTCCTTGATCCTCTCTCGGGGATGCCTCATTCTCACCTACTGCCCCTTGAGATGGGGCTGTGGCTGCCAGCAGCCCTGGGCTTGCATCCCTGGGGCCCAGCACTGTCAAGGAAGGAGTGCTATCCCCAACTCCAGCTCGAAAAGTCCCCCTGTGCCAGCCTGGGTCACCAGCCCTCCCTGTGACCAGGGAACCAACATCTCTTACCATAAGAAGCAGGGGTGGAGCCACGCTCGGTGGCTCAGCCTGTAATCCAGCACTTTGGGAGGCTGAGGTGAGTGGATTGCCTGAACCTGCGGGTTTGAGACCCACCTGGGCAACTTGGCGAGACCTCATCTCTACAATAATCAAAAAATCAGCCGGGCATGGTAGCGCGTTCCTGTAATTCCGGCTACTTGGAAGGCTGAGGCGGAAGGATCGCCGGAGACCAGCAGGTTGAGGCTGCAGTGGCTGGGAGTGGCCACTGCATTCCAGTCTGGGCGACAGGGTGAGACTCCAACTCAAAAAAAAAAAAAAAAAAAAGAAGCAGGGGTGGGACAGGGGCTGACAGAAGGCATTGTCGCTGCAGTTTCCTACCGCCTGGTGGCTGTGACTGAGCATCCAGTCCCTCTAGGCCTCTGTGCCCTCCTCTGTGAAGCAGGAGGGGACAGCTCCCACCACCTAATCCTACTGCAAGGGTTCCAGGAGATGTGTGGGTGGAGCTCCCAGCACAAGGCAGTGACAAGTGGTGGGGGCTGGATGTGGTGGCTCATGCCTTTATCCCAGCGCTTTGGGAGGCTGAGGCAGGAGGATCACTTGAGATCAGGAGTTCACCACCAGCCTGGCAACGTAATGAGACCCTGACTCTACAAAATGTATTTTTTAAAGTGGGGACCAGGCACAGTGACTCAAGCCTGTAATCCTAGCACTTTGGGAGGCCGAGATGAGAGGATTACCTTAGCCAAGGAGTTAAAGACCAGCCTAGGCAATTTGGTGAGACCTCATCTTTATTGTAAATTTAAAAAATTAGCCAGGTATGGTGGCATGTGCCTGTAGTTCCAGCAAATTGGAAGGCTGAGGTAGAAGGATCACTTGAGCCCAGCAGGTTGAGGCTGCAGTAGCCGTGAGTGTGCCACTGCATTCCAGCGTGGGCGACAGAGTGAGACTCCAACTCAAAAAAAAAAAAAAAAAATGTAGTGGGGATGCTGAATAGAGAGGACAGGGAGACTCCATTGACCTAGGGAAAGTCCATTCCACCTGTCCTGCCTGTGATGGGACCCCCCCAAGAGAGTTTGCCTCCTTGTTCTAGGTGGTGCTACCAACCCAGTGCAGATCATCCTTGGAACTCTCTGGAAAGGATTCTGGAAAATTATGGAAGCAACAGCAACTTTGACAGAAAAATGTTTTGGTTTGAGTTAGAGTCTCACTCCGTTGCCCAAGCTGACGTGCAGTGGCACGCTCGCAGCCACTGCAGCCTTGACCTGCTGGGCTCAGACGATCTCTCTGCCCCAGTCTTCCAAGTAGTTGGAACTACAGGCATGCACCACCATGCCTCGCCAGTTTTTTTATTTATTGTATTGACAAGGTCTCACCAAGTTGCCCAGACTGGTCTCAAACCCTTGGGCTCAGGCAGTCTTCTTGCCTCTGCCTCCCAAAGTGCTGGGATTACAGGCACGAACCACCACGCCCGGCTTGTTTTGTTTTTTGGGGTTTTTTTAGACTCGCTCTGTCACCCAGGCTGGAGTGCAGTGCCACGGTCATGACTCACTGTAGTCCCCAACTCCTGGGTTCAAGTGAGCCTCCCGCCTCAGCCTCCCAAGTAGCTGGGACCATAGGTGCACACCATCATGCCTGGTTCATTTCTTAATTTTGTATAGATGAGGTATCATTATGTTGCCCAGGCTCGTCTCAAACTCCTGGCCTCAAGCAGTCTTCCCACCTTGGCCTCCCAAAGTGCTGGAATGACAGGCATGGGCCACTATGCCTGGGCAGAAAAAAAATGTCTGTGGCGCCTGTAAGCTTACATCTACCTCTGGGAAGGGAGTACCTGGTGTTGTGATTGCTCTGATCCACAATAGTGGCCAAGCGTGAACCAGGTCTCAGCTCAGCGCTCCAGAACTCGGGCCTTGTCACATGGTGCCTGTTCTTGGCACGAATGGGACAATGAAACACCTCCATTGTCTTAGGAGGCAGTGGGCAGCGTGTCACTGGAGGTGTGCAAGTCGTGGCGGGGGCGGGGGGGGATGCTGTAAGGAGTTTTTGCGCTCTGCTGGGGAGGGGGTCGAGTTGGGAGACCCTTAAAGGTCTCCCTTTTTCTCCAGGGTCTGGGCAGGAGAGGACAACTCCAGGCCGGCTGTCAGGGCCAGACTGAGGTAGCACAGACGTGCTCCCTGAGGAAGGCTGGTGGGGCCTGGGGAGAGTGGCAGGAAAGCCTTCCCGGAGGAGGTGGCCCTGGCTCTTGACCTTCAACGTGTCTCAGGACAGTAGATCTGAACCCAAATGATCGCCTGGTGCTTACACTTGCTTTGCGAGAGACAGCCTTCCGAGGACCGCACGGTGAGGTGACCCTCGGCTTCTTGTTGTGCCTCGCATCACCGTGTCTGTGGCTCCTTTTCGGTTCCGCAATAGTCTAGGGAGCAGACACACCCGGGCCGGGCGTGTCTGGGGAGGCGGCCCTGCCCATCTCTAGAAGGCGAGGTCCCCTGGAGGGCTGTGATTGGTGCAGCTCAGCTCACGTGCCACTCTGGGGGCCAATCGCTGTGGACACAGGCTGGAGATGAGATGTGTTTGGGTTCAGATTCTGCTGGGCGACCTGAAGTGACCCACCTGACCTTGGGTTCTCCGCTTAGTCATGTGGTCGAATTTCAACCTCAAAGAGTTTCTATGGTAAATGCCATAGTGAGATAAGTGAGACAGTGTGGGGAAACCGTTAACAGTGGTTCCTGAACTGCCACGGTGCTGGCTAAAGGCTGCCGTCCCCCACCGTGTCCCTTGTATCCCCCCATCATGTCTCCTGCGTCCCCCACCGTGTCCCTTGTATCCCCCCATCATGTCTCCTGCGTCCCCCAACGTGTCTCTTGTGTCCCTCCCCACTGTGTCTCCCACGTCCTCCTCTGTTATGGCTCCTGTGTCCTCCATGGTGTTTCCTGTGTCCCCCAGTCAAGGCTCCCGCATCTGTGTCCCCTCCCACACCCCGTCGTGGCTCCTGTTTTCCCGTCATGGCTCATGCATCCCCTTCGTCCTGTAGGGAAGGGTGCCCAGCAGTCACTCCTGTCTGGCAGTGTACTTCCTGAATCACAGGCAAGCTGGGCCAGGACCATGGAGGTCTACCTTCCCCTTGACCCAGGGCCACTCAGTGTCCCCAGCAAAACCATCTCCCTGGAACTTGGGCATGCACCTCCTCTGGTCTTCTGTCCCCAGGCCTCCCAGGCCTCCCAGGCTCATCTCAGGGGAAGGTTCTGGAGGGAAGAGAAAGAGCTGGTTCCCATCTGCTCCTTCCAGGCATGGTACCAGCAATGCTGATGACACAGCGCGCACGGCTCCCTTCCACCTTGACCTCTGGTGCTACTTCACACTGCAAAACTGGGTTCTGGACTTTGGCCGCCCCATCGCCATGGTGAGTGTATGGAGCCTGTCCCCACTGAGGAAACTCACAGGACCTGGACTTGCTGAGTGACCTAGACGAGCCACCACCCCTTTATCCCATAACCTGGGAACAGGCCTGGTGGCGTCACATCTGTGGCCAGGCAGGAAGTTGCCAGTAAGGGGGTCACCAGAGGCCTGAGTGGCTCTACTATGTCCCTATTCTCTTGGGGACCTAGTGTCCTGGCAGCCATACTGTGGCCGCCTCCAGCCCGTGTCTTGAGGCAGGTGAACCAGGTTTAACCAGATCAATAAGCCAGACAGGGTGTGGGGAAGGGGTAGAGCCCTCTCTGGCCTCCCCACCACCTTGGGACAGCAGGATTTTTCTGGGGATGAAGAGTGTAGGGTGATGTTGCATCTTATATGTGACTTGGGTCCCTGGGTAGTTTTTAGTGCCATCTAGTAAAACCACCCCTTTCCCTCATGGCAGTTTCACCCATTAGTGGACAGTGGCAGCCTTCACAGAAGGGATGAATGCTAGGAGCCTCCGAAGCTCCTTACTTGTGATGGCAGAATAGATGGATGGAGGGAGGGATGCATGGATAGGTGGAGGGAAGTGGAGAGAGAGGGAGGGAGGGATGGATGGAGGGGAGGGTGGAGGGAGGGATGGGTGGATGGATAGAGAGATGGATGGATGGATGGAAGGGTGGAGGGAGGGATGGAGGGAGCAGGGGATGGAGGGATGGATGGATAGAGGGATGGATAGAGAGAGGGAAGGATGGATGGATAGGTAGACAGACAGACACAACAGAATGTGGAAAATACTGAGTGAGGTTCCACCATGTGGGGAGGGAAGCACAGTATAACTAGTTATTCGGGCCCTCAAGTTTCCCCTTTGCTGGAAGTTTCCTGCCAGGCCACAGGCTTAGGGTTAGAGAGACTGGGGGCGTCAGGCCTGTCCTCAGTTTACAGGAGATGAAGGTGTGGTGACCTGTCCAAGGCTACTCAACATAGTCACATGTAAAAGTGACGCTCTCCGCTGCTGAAACTGGCATCTCATGCCGCAGTGCTGATGGCATGAGCGAGGCCTGGAGGCAGGCACAGCTTGTGTGGGCAACTTGGCCAGGACTTGGCTCCCCCTGGGAGTAGGGCCTGGCATAGGATGCGCTCAGTGCCCATGCCTTGAAGGAGTGGTAGCAATAGACAAGATAGAAAGAGCAGCTGACTTAGGCTGGATGCTCCGCGGTCTGGTCTCTTGTCATGTTTGTTTCTTTAATTCTCCCATCACCACTATTACTAATCTCAGTTCTGTAGATGAGACGAAGACAGACATTGAGGACCTGGTTCACTTTTACCCGCCTGTCTGTCTGGCATTCATGCCCCAGAGCCCAGCCCTTCCTGGCAAGGCTCAACTCCCCGACACTTAAAGACCCAGAATTCCTGGGCACAGGGGCTCACGTCTGTAATTCCAGCACATCTCACCACAGCCTCCACCTCCTGAGCTCAAGTGATCCTCCCACATCAGCCTCCTGAGTAGCTAGGACTAAAGGCACGCACCACCATGCCCGGCTAATCGTGGGCTCAAGAGATCCTCCTACCTTGGCCTCCCAAGTGCTGGGATTACAAGAGTGAGCCACCGTGCCTGGCCATAGTGCCCTTTAAATGTAGAAAAAGAAAAAGGGGTCAAGCCAGGAGTTGGGGCATTTGGTCAGGCCTATGGGTGACCGTGGGAGGACATGAGCAAGTCATTGTGCTCTGGACTTCATTTTTCTCCTCTCCAGTTGACCTTTTTGGAGGACTCTCCCAGCATGAGAGTCCCACACCGGGGCCAGAGGAGCTGTCTGCCACATTGGTGCTCCAGAGAGGAGAGCTGAGACCAGAGTGGGCAGAGGCTGTCCTCCCCAGGAAGGCACAGCCTTCACTGGCCTAATGGATCCCCTGCTGGGCAGGTCCCTTCCCATCCTGCCCAGAGCTGCTTGACCTCTATACCCTCAAGTGTGGACACACGTTTACCCAGAGCTTTCCGAGTGTATACCTCAGAGTCCCAACTTTGCAACAACTAAAAATAAAAACATTTTCATGTTATAAAAGCAACGTGTTGGCGGAGTGCAGTGGCTCACACTTGTAATCCCAGCACTTTGGGAGGCCAAGGCAGAAGGATTGCTTGAGGCCAGGACTTGGAGACCAACCAGGGCAACGCAGCAGGATCTTGTCTCTACAGAACATAAGAAAATTAGCTGGGTATGGTGGCACACACCTGTAGCCTCAGCTACTTAGAAGGTGGGAGGTGGGAGGATCACCTGAGCCCAGGAGGTCAAGGCTGTGATTCCTGTAATTGTGCCATGGCACTCTAGTCCGTGCTGGGTGACAGAGTGAGACCCCAACTCAAAAACAACCAACATGCTATAGCTGTTACACAAAGAAGTATTAGGCAGTCCCCATCCCTGTCCCGTCCTGCTGAAGACAATCTGGGGCACACCCCCTTCTCCTTTCTCAACCTATAGCTATACAATATAGGTCCTTTTTTTTCTTTTTTCTTTTTTTTTTTTTGAGTCGGAGTCTCACTCCAGTTGCCCAGGCTGGAGGGCAGTGGCATGCTCACGGTCACCGCAGCCTCAACCTACTGGGCTCAGGCGATCCTTCCTCCTCAGCTTTCCCAGTAGCTGGAACTACAGGCACACACTACCATGCCCAGCCAATTTTTGGTTTATTGTAGAGATGAGGTCTCGCCAAGTTGCCTGGGCTGGTCTTGAACCCCTTGGCCCAGGCAATCCTCTCGCCTCTGCCTCCCAAAGTGCTGGGATGACAGGCGTGAGCCCTCGTGTGTGAGCCCCCGTGCCCTGCATGTCCTTTGTTTGTTGACCTCAATGAGATTTTACCTTATACCTTATTTGCAACTCACTTGTTTTACTTTAGAATATGTCATGGCTGGCCGGGCTCAGTGGCTCTCAGTCTGTCATCCCAGCCCTCTGGGAGGCCGAGGCAGGTGGATTGCCTGAGCCGGCAGATTCAAGACCAGCCTGGACAATTTGGCGAGACCTTGTCTCCAATAAATCAAAACTTAGCCGGGCATGGTAGTGCACGCCTGTAGTTCCGGCTACTTGGAAGGCTGAGACGGAAGGATCACCAGAGCTCAGCAGGTTGTTGCTGGGGTGGCCGTGAGTGTGCCGCTGTACTCCAGCCTGGGGGATGGAGTTAGACTCCGACTCAAAAAAAAAGAATATTTCATGGCTGACCTTCCATGTCAGTGCATGTCAGGTGCCATTGTGTGTGTGCATGTCTGTGTAAGACATGACACAGGAGGCGTCATTTCCGTGCACGGCTTTGTAACCTTTCATAGTCACGCTGTCCCCTGGCATTCAGCCAGTCCCGTGTGATGGAAGACCAACTTGTTTCTGGTATTTTGCTGTCACAGAAAATTGGGAAAGACTCAGACATATGTATATGTGGTGCACACACACAGAGTCAGAGAGAGGCTGAGGTTTCTGTGTCCTGGGAGCTTGCTTATCCAATATGGCACTTCTGAGTTGCAAGAGTTAAACATTTAGGTCTTTGGTGGAAACTTGCGGTCGTGACTCGTGCGTCGGTCAACAGATACTGGGCCCATGGTGGGGGCTGGGAGCTGTGGTGACTTTGCACAGGGGTCTTACGCTGGCCTGGACTAGCCCAGGAGGAGGGGAGCTGCCTCCCGAGGAAGCCTGATGCTGCTGTATGGGACACACCGTCCTCTGCTGCCTCCTGACACTTTTGAATGCTGGTGATCTGCCTTGGGAGCGGCTGCCCACCCAGTGGCACGTGTCTTTATACACCCAGGCCCAGCGGTCAGGAAACCTTGTCACCATCAGGGCCTTGGCATGCCACAGCCCCGAGGGTCCACCTCTTTTGTGTTACAGGTGGGGAAACCAAGGCCCAGAGAGCAGGACCAGCCCCGGGTCACCCAGCACGTTGGTGGCACAACTGAGTCCCCAGGGAGCTTGCTGGTGCCCAAGCTGGCACCAGGGACATGTACTCAGTGTCCACTGGGCTAGGAGCACAGGGTCAGGCCCTGGGTTTACATCCTGCTCTGTGACCAGGGACGGGTCCGTTTACCGTCTCTGGGACCCAGATTTCCTATCTGAAAAGGTGATCATCCCCGGGCTGTCACAGAAGGTCCCCGGGGTCACAGGAGGAGTGGCATGGGTGTGGCAGGGCGGGGCCTCTGGGCCTGGGCGTGCTTGGGCCAGGCCACCTGTCCTCTTCGCAGCTGGTGTTCCCTCTGGAGTGGTTCCCGCTCAGCAAGCCCAGTGTGGGGGATTACTTCCACATGGCCTACAATGTCATCACACCCTTCCTTCTGCTCCAGGTACGGCACGGCCCCCGCCTCCCTTCCTGTCTGGCACCTGGGGCCCGGGGGAGGCAGAGAGG